TTAATGGGAAAATCCACTATTTCTATGGGTAATTTTCAATAGCTATCATAAATCAGCTATAAATCCCATGAAATGCCCATTTTCCTGTGGTTTTCCTATGGTTTTTGACATAACCAGAGGGTATAACCAATGGTGATTTCCCACTTCCCAAACCGGTGGAATCACCGGCAGTTTCAGGGTCCCGCCCGAGCGGCCTCACCGGAGTATTGGAGCACGGCCCGGTCACTCCATCCTGGATGGCTTTGTTGGAGGGGTTTTCGCCAACCATTGGAATTGTAGGTATACCATAGTGGATATAATATATGGATGGATATCATTTATATATACATATATATGTGTGTATATATATATAGATATACATATATAGAGAGAGAAAGAGAGAGAGAGAGACTGCTGCAATATGAGGATGGCCTCCGGTGTGGCTGGAAAATGATGGGTTCCCCCCCCGCTATGATGACACCATAGCGGTAAGCAAGAAACATCATGTGTTTTCTGGATGTTTTTTTCATACAGTGCAGGGGTTCAATATCTACTGCACCATCTCCAGATGCCTGGCACCAGCCAGGTATGCAACCTGTTGTGGCATGGTTAGATTGGAAATGCGACCACTCCACATCTGTGGGCTTCTTAAGGGCTGGATCCCCAAGTCACCATCACCGATAGTCAAAGTGGCTCCCCCCAACAGATCCCCTTTGGATTTTTGGGAACTGAGCAGATAAAGATCCAAAATTACACAGACTCTCCAAAAGGCTTGAAGAAGCCCTGTCATATTCTTCTAAATCCCATGATTCCTCGTGAGATTCCATCTCCAGTCTTGAACCCATTCTTTGGTCCCAAATATGTGTACAGTAGATTCCCTACTAAACCAATCTAAACCATATCTGGGGAGTGTTTAATTTTAGGGAGAAAGGGTGTGTATAAAATGGGTAAAAGCAGCCTGAGTTTCTCAGTTCAATCCCATGGATACCCCTATCCCAGCCCATTCTCCTTGCTTTTGAGCTATCCCTATGGGAATGTCAAATAAATTCGGCAATCATGATATTGCCCCCTGTATATACATATAATAAATATATATATACATATATATATATTATGTAATCAAATATGATGTAATCAATCAATCATTGCATAGTTTATAGTTGTTTATATCTATCGGCAAAGTGATTCCTATGACATTCCCATGACATTCCCATGACATATCCCCATTTACAGTGCCGCAAGGCGAATGGCTCGCATCGCGCAGCAAACCAAGGCGCCATATCCCAGCAGGCACATGGAATAGACGCGATAGCCCTGCTCCGCCAAAGTGGCCACCTCCGCTGGGTAAAAAACTGGATAGCTACCATGAAATTGAAATTTGGATAGTTTCATCAAAATTCTGGGCTTTAGCATCCCATTTCATGCTAAATTGTCTTTGCTTTCTACCAGATCCAAGTGCAAATTGGCTCAAATTGGGCACCCCAAACTTTCATAAATGAGCGCGTTCTTCGTCAGCTAACCGCCACTGTCCAGTCCAAGCCCCCCCACATTCAGGGTTGGTGTCCTTTTCACGCCATGGAAATAAGCAAAACCTATCGAAGATCATCCGCTTCGAGCACCGGCTTTTTCAGCAATGTTTCACAGGCCGCACTCGGGTGGAATCCCAAAGCGCCAGTATCTGAATAGGGAGTATCCCACTGAGGTCGGTAGCTCAGGGGATACATCGCAGGCGAGATCCCTGTCTAAATCATTAATCAAGTCCTGTGATGAATAACATGATTAGAGATATTGGAGCCGATCTTGAACTGAAGAAGATTCACCACCATCGGGTGAATGGCCCCAAGCAACCACAGATCCATCCGCCAAGATTGCAGCAAATGCACCACCTGTGGCCTGAATCTGCAAAACATTCTCGAGCCAATCTTGAACTGCAGAGCAGTCACCACCAACATTGGGATTGCCCCATGAAACCACTGATCCATTCGCCAAGATCGCAGCAAATGCAGCACTTGTGCGCTGAATTTGCTGCACATTCATCAGCTGACCTTGAACTGCAGAGCAGTCACCACCATGACCAGGATTGCCCCAGGTCACTACTGATCCGTCCGCCAAGATCGCAGCAAATGCGCCACCAGTGGCCTGAATCTGCTGCACGTTTTTCAGCTGTTCTTGGACCGCAGAGCAGTCACCGCCAAGATTGGGATGGCCCCAAGCAACCACAGATCCATCCGCCAAGATCGCGGCAAATGCGCCACCAGTGGCCTGAATTTGTTGCACATTCATCAGCTGATCTTGAACTGCAGAACAGTCACTACCACGATGTGGAGAGCCCCACGTCATTGCTGCTCCATCTGCCAAAATCGCAGCGAAAGCGCCACCTGTGGCCTGAATTTGCAGAAAATTCTTGAGCCGCTCTTGAACTGCAGAGCAGTCGCCACCACAGTTTTCACTGCCCCAGGCCACTACGGATCCATCGGCCAAGATCGCAGCAAATGCGGCACCTGTCGCCTGAATTTGCTGCACATTCATCAGCTGATCTTGAACTGCGGAGCAGTCACCACCTTGACCTCGAGAGCCCCAGGTAACCACTGATCTGTCCGCCAAGATCGCAGCAAATGCGCCACCTGTGGCCTGAATTTGCTGCACGTTTTTCAGCTGTTCTTGGACCGCAGAGCAGTCACCACCACAAGGTCGGCTGCCCCAGGCCACTACTGATCCATCAAGCAAGATGGCGGCAAAGGCGCCACCTGCTGTGGCCTGCACTTGTTGCACATGTTTGAGCTGATGTTGAATTGGAGAGCAGTCACCACCCCAGTCTGGATGACCCCAGCTAACCACCGATCCATCCACCAAGATCGCGGCAAGTGCGCCATTGTTGGTCTGTACTTGCTGCGCAGTCCTGAGCTGATCTTGAACTGCAGAGGAGTCACCACCATACTCTGGATGGCCCCACACAACCATCCCGCTTCCTCCACAGCACCACGCAGCAAATGCTCTGCTCGCTGCCGCTATTTTCGCATGTTGCACTACAGCTGTTAGGTGCTCTCCGTCTTGCACCCCTGCAGCTTGCAAGGAGTCCGCAAGGTTAGTCAGGACATGCCCCTCCACAGTAACCAGTTTCAGGAAACCCTTTCTGAAAGTTTTTTGCGCAAGAAGTTTCAAGTCCCCCCACTTTGGAGTGTTCAGGGAGGGAGAGAGTTTCTCCAGAACCACTCGGGAACGATACGTTTACTCGAAGCATTCAAAGAAGTGTGAAACGGAAATTCAAATCAACAATTGTTGAAATGCATTCTAGATGCAACATCTTGATCCTTCAAATGCCACCGTCAGCGAACTGGGCGCATACGACCCAACACGTTACTTCCCATATGATATCAAAGTTCACCCACAGTGAGAAACAAGCCTACTTGACTCCCATTTGACATTGATTTGGGTGAAGCCACTATTAAATCATATGAAAATCAAGGTTTCTTGCTGTAGAAAATGAAGAAGATGGAGCTATTCAGTTTCACCTTACATCTGGCCTAAATCCAGTGGTTGATTTTTTTTATGTTTTGAACAATTGCCATTTGGGAATGAATTTCCCCATTTTCAGATACCAGACCCAAATCTATCAGAATGATTGTTGGTGATACGTCCCCAAGACGTTCTGCCAAATTGGTGCTTTCCCCCCAATGCAAACGATGTTCCAACAACAATACGCAGCTCGAGAAATTGATTTCAATATATCACACATGTTGATGAACTATCTACGTGTTCCCAGGGGGTTTCCCATGGTTTTTTCCCATGATTTTCCAACATGTTCCTAAATCATGGGAAACCATAGCTATTGACCAGCAAGTTCATGACCAGCAAGCTTTGGACCAATAACTAAATATGGTTTGTGAATGTTTTTGGTAATATCTCGCTATTGACCAGCGAGCAACTCCCTCTAAAAACGGTGCTGGGTCATCTCTGAAAGTGCTGGGGATTTTTCCGTTCACCTGGTAGCGCCAGTGATAGGAGCTGGCTCCAAAGCCATGAACCTTGGAAGATCCCGGCTGAAGACGGTGACCTAAAAATGGGAAGATTTTTTTTTGTCATGGCAAAATGATGAAAATTATTTTTTGCTATAGTTACTATATGCTATACTGGTAATATAGTATAGTTTTCAATAGTTGTATAGTGGTCATGATATGCTGGCGCGGTGATTTTGCGTCATTTCCCCATGAAAATGATGATTTAAACCCAGATAAATTTGGCCCATGAAAATCATGATAGACCATGAAAGACCACTACGCACACCAATTTCAAGGTTTTCTATTTTCAGACAAACCCATATGAATGCCCTGTTCATGTGGGTCGATGACCATCCCTGAAATCATGGCAAAATATAGCGCATGTAATTTGACCATGGCACATGTTTCTGTAGGAGTTTTATCATGATGTGTACCCTCTGGTAAACTAACAGGTCGCGCCGCCCTTGGGCAACTGGTGTTGTTTGGCGCCTTTTGTTCTTTGCGCCTTGTGTTCTTTGGCCCTTGCGCCATTTTCAGCGAGCGTTGCAAACTTTGGCCAATTGTTTGAGAAAGTGCAATGGAACATTCCCTGGCAAGTTGATGTAAGTCGTCTAAACATAAGTATATGTGTATATATATATATATATGCATAGATGATATATATATATATATGTGCATAGATGAAATATATATATATATATACACATGTGGTATGTATGTGTATATATATATATATGCGTGTGTGTGCGTGTACGTAAGTGAGAAATATATGTTTGCGCTTAAATGTAAACAAGAAGATATGTACATGTGTATGTATACAACAGTGAAAATAAACGTATATAAATGCAAATGTTGAATACATTGATATGTATCTAAATGTGATTTTCATTTTGTAATATTGTGTATATATAAAAATAACCCAAGCAAACTGTTGATTTTCGAGCGGCTATGTTTTAAGGAGACCAGAAGTGTTTGTGCCTACCTTTTGAGAATTTGCTGGGTGACACATGACATAACACTTTGAAAATTGTCTCAACTACTTCTTGTGGTGCTAATTCCAAAGACACTGAATATGACACCTGGTCAGCTTCTCGAGCTGCTACACAGTGGGGTCCCACTAAGTATGTACAGTGATAAAATGGTGATCCTGCAGTCTCCAGTTATATATTGCATTTTTGTTGGCATCGCCAAAGCTGCATTGATTCAACCCAATCTGCTTCGCAGCAGGTGGTTCGTTGCCATGGTCTAGACTCCAGTGATATCCCACTAAACATGTATATTGATCATTTGTGACAATTCTTTGGCTCATAGCCCCCAGTTATATGTTGCATTGATGTTGGCATCGCCAAAGCTGAGCATCTTTTCAATTCAATCTGCTTCACAACTGGTGGTTCGTTGTCATAGTCTAGTGTCCAGAGATATCCCACTAAGTATGTACATGGAAAATTGGTGACAATTTTTCGGCTCATAGTCCCCAGTTGTAATATAATATGTATGTTCTCTATATGAAAAAGCCAAAAGGACGCTCCTAGGCGCCCGGTCAGTGCGGTCACCAGGCACGCGAGGCACGTTGCAGAACCCAATGTGATGGCAGATCCAACAGTATATGTTTATCATGCGGATAGAACAATAAAAATGTCATCAAATCAGTGCGATATTATTTTTTGGGAGAGGACTATACTATACTCTAATGTATGCTGGATATAAAGCACCATATTAGGATTGGTAGCGGAACAGTAAAGGAGCAGAAACTACCTCTTACACCGAAAGCTCTAGTAGAATCGTATGTTACCTGAACTGCTGAAGTGTCAACGTGGCACACCTTGGCCCTTGAGCCTTGACAAGGCCACGGCACACCTCCACCGGCGCACGCCTCGATCAGTCGCAGAAGAAGATGGAACAGTGGCCAAGCTATTTACTGTAAGAGCTTCCTCATTCTGTGGGCATGCTTAATGTGAATCAGGTTAGCCGTGCCCTGATGCTGGGTATGTGCGGGTGTCAGTTGACAACTTCCAACAGCTTCAGCGTCCATTGCATCCTTTTCTATGAACCACTCTTTTGACATTCATGGATCTCATTGCCAAACTTTGAAAAAATCGAAAACTCCGTGGAGAACATGTAATGTGGCCATGCAAACCATGAAAAACATCAGGTGCACTTCGGTTCTCTGCTATCAGCAAACTGCTGCATTTCACTGCATCTCCTGTCCCATCCAATGACGCCTGCATCGATGAGGCATGGAGATGCTCGGTGCCACCACTGGAACCTCAAACAGGTCAATGGTGATGTGGCCGGATGTCAAAGCTTGCATTTGAACAGCTTGTTGAACGGGTTGATGAAACGCATTGGGCTGATTGTACCTGAACAAACCATCTGAATAAGACAACATCACATGTTTCCTACGCAGAGTTTGAGCACCAATCAAAGTGGGAGTAGATCTTGCCAAACCAACAAGGACATAGCACGAAATCTTGCCCAGTGAAGTGCCAAAAATATCCGCTCGACTGACTGCTTTGTCACGCTGACCATTCCCAAAATGAAAAGTTGGCAAATCATCTCGTGAAATCTCATTTGGAAATCGTCCCGCAGTCACCAAATCGTGAAGGCTATCGATACCTATGGCATTCTCACAAGCTCCAGTGTCAATGACTGCCCTTGTTGGTGCACGCCCATGAGTTGCATCGTCACCCCAATGTGCTGACAGGATGCTGGCTAGGTCAACAAAATATGTCTTTCCTTGGTGGCCTTTACCTTTCCCTTCGTTCCATCCACCAAACTTTCCTTTGGACCATCGATTTACTCTTACCTTTGGATTTTCCTGTGAAACCACCTTGTGAAAAACGATCCGGACATTGTTGATACCCATGACCACATGCCACAACGCGAACAAGGCCCCAAACCTTTTGTCTGTCCTTTGGCAGATGCAGGTGAAGACGCAGGAGAACTGGATGGAGGCACCATGCCCTTGCCACTGTTCGACTCAGGAGCATAGTGACCCGGGACTGCCGGATGCGTCGAACGGCTTCCCTCGCATCTTTGAGCGCTCGAATGGCTTCAGAAGCAATGTTGAATGCCTCGACCAGCTGAACTTCTTCTGGATCTGCTGACTGTTCATCAGGCTGCACGTCCTCTGTCTCCTCCTCGGGCCAATACGACCACCATGACGGATCATCCTGCCAGTAAACCTGAGTGGATGGAGACCAGTCATTCGGTTCCCAATCCCACTCATTCCAGTATGAGTCATCTGCATCCATCTGATCATGCTCCCAATCTTCATACCAAATACGAGAAGAACCACGGTGCTGACCCTCATCTTCAGAAAACAACGCACATAGGGCTCTTCGAATCTGATAAAAGCCCGTTGAATTCTGAGTCGTGAACCCTTGGGCCAAGCCCAATCCAGAAGTGTTTACCACCCTAATGGGGCTGTTGTTACCTTTTTCCTCCAGAATCGAAAATCCTGAAGACATCGAAGCCTTACCCTGTCAAGCTTCCCCGAATCATGAGGATCCTTTGATGGCCTATGTGTTCATGTGGAAGCAGCTGGGGCCTGAGGAAGCACTTCTCACAACCATAGGTTTTGGAGATTCTCATTCCAGTCCACCAGTTGCAGGTGCCACCCAGGGTGGCCATAGGATTTCAACGTTTTAAGCACAACAAGCCATGCTTGTTTATTTTTTGGGGTCAATGAGAAAACCTATCATAGCAAGAATCCTATGGCCACCCTGGGTGGCCCCTGCAGTTCTTCTGGTTTGGCCATAAACAAGTATTCCTATGGTTGAACCAGCACATTCTGTTTCTCGTGATTTGAAATTCTGCTAGCCCTCAACAAACGATACCCCCAGAGCTCGTCCGCAAAGAAATCAGAAGTCAGGTTAGCACTTTGGGATGTTGTAGGTGGGCATTGGCTGGGCAGGCTCTCGCACTGGTGGTCCTGCTGCATTTGCCGTTGGGCTCTGAGATGGGGTAGATGGAGGACCACGCTCATTCCTGGCCGCTGCAACAGGGCTAGATGGATCACCATATGTCGTCACATGTCTGTCTTTGCGAGCTCGTACTAAAGATTGTTGTAATTCAGTGAAAAGTCCTTCTTCCCTGACAATCAGCTCCGCTATGCTCTCTTTCTCAGCTCTTCTCAAGCTATGCCATCTTTCCAGTCTAGAGAAACTGTCAGGGACCGGAAGCTGTTGTAAAGGAGAAGACCTCAACACATCCAAGAATCTTTTCAGTCCATCATCGCCCTCAAACTGTTCTGGTTCCAGATATCTCACTACACTTTTTGCAGCCCCACTCAACTCACCCCACAGTCTGGCAACTACCAAGCCCCGTTCTGACTGCTTCGTGCCACGTTCAAACCACTTCGCCGCAGTCACATGTGTCTCACAGGTGCTTGGGTTGCCGTCCCAACTGGGTATTGCAGCTTTGACCTCCATGGTCTGGATCTTCGGTCCGGGGTATATATCTTTTAAGAGCACCCCTGCGGGTATCAACCACTGAGCTCATATGATTCTGATGTTTTTTCCAATGATTCAATTGGATACAAATGCTGCCATGACCGGGTTAACTCAACAGGTAAATCAACTATAAATGGGCCATTATCAATAGCTATGTTAGTTTACCAGAGGGTAATCATCATTAGCCATCCAGTTTGAGGAACATGTTGCCCCAACATGTTCAGGTACAGGCCACCCAGGTTACCATCTTCCTCAACATCCAGGTCGCTAACAACACGCATTGACCATCTTCAGGCCCCGCAGCGATGTAGTTGATCTGGCTGGACGTTGGAGACCATGGTATCCACTGGGAGGCTACTGGAGTATTTTTTGGGCGAAATTGGGAGGTTCCCTGAAAATTTAGCCCTTACATGGCCAAAAATATAACCCTTACATACACCTTGTATATGGATACATATGGTAGGTATCTGAATTTTAGATTCCAATGGCCACTGAGAGGTTGGAATGTTCACAAAAAGCCAACCCCAAATCTACAAGGTGAGGCCGCCTTAAACGAACTCGCTAAGTTGACGCACCTATATCCAGTAACTTAAGGTTCACGAACTCGCGTTGACTAGGGGAATATGACATGATATAACTATAGTATTCATGGGGGTTATAGACCAACTTATAACTGGCGGGCCTCACCTTGTAACAATAGGATGGAACCCAAATATGTTTTTGATATCTTCCAAATGTCTTCCTCAAGCTGCCAATTTTGGGTTGGGAATTCATTTGGTGTACCCTCTGGTAAACAAACATAGCTATAGAAAATGGCCATGTTATAGTTGATTTACCCCTAAAAAATTGTGATTTTCCATAGTTATGCTAGTTTGACAGAGGGTACCTGTGCCCGCCCTTTTATTGTTCCTGTCAACGATCCAGGGAGTCAAGTGGAACGAGTTCTGTTTCGCTGCGAGACAGAGTCTCAGCAGAAGCTATGCGGAGGAAGAATCCCCCTGCAGGAAATTTCAAACAGATGGGAAAGCCATCAGAAATACCGATCATGAACGGCAAAGAAGCCTCTGGGATGTTCAGATTGTTGGCTTCTCCACTTCCATGTGAGACTTTCCGAGAGCGGTCTACTGTTGACCACAAAAGATGACAAAAATTCGGCCAAGAACAACTGCTGCTGGTCGTCAAGCCCCCAAGTCGAAGTTGGAAACTTTGGCTCAACAACCATCTTTCAGCACTTGCTCCGAGCTTGAGATTTGGGTTGCTCCAGGGTTCCTCTAACATCCCACAGTGGTTGTGGTGAAATGCCTCGATAAAGAGATGAAATATGATGAAATATGATAAAATGACCCATGCTTTGAAAGTGACTCTCATTCAGAATGAATTCACCTTGGGTTGGAGCAATCCTGGCGCTCAAAAATCTGGTCTTGTACCAGAGCTGATCCCCGTGGGTGCCAAATTCTGTGAAATTCCGTCCAGAATGGTTTTCTGGTTGGTGGTTGATCCACGAAGCCCTAAAACATGAAATTGAAATGCGGTCATCATCTCCACTTTAGGCATAGAAAACAATCTAAACACTCTTTGGATCTGTTTGACTTGAAACCACCAAGCAGTTTTTTGGTTTCCCTGCCCGGCAAAACAACCTGATCATCCGCCCATCATTGGGACCAACCTATGATCAGTATCGCAAGGCATAGGAAAGAACAGTTTTTCGCCACTCTTGAGGTGACAAAAATCTGGAAGGCCCCTTCGAATTAGTCCCCTCTGGGTTTTTTTGTTGATGACCGCGACGATCCATCTCCCTGCCGTGTGTTGCCAAGTGTGTTGCCAAGGTGAAAAATCGACCACGAGAATGGCCTTCAAACCGAATCCTCACTTCTGTTTTGGCCACTGCCACTTTTTGGCTCCCGCGCCAAGCATTGTGCCACCTGCAGGCAAGTGTCAGATCTACATCTCGCAGCAACATCACAGGATGAACTTGCCATCCGAACTTGCCATCATGGTGCCCCAGTTGGTGAAATTCCCTATCTTTTCGCTGGCTAAATCCATTCTGAAATAACAAGTCTTGTTCTTTACATCCAATCAAATCCCCCATGTTTCTTAGGTTACCCTCTGGTAAACTAACATAACTATGGAAAATCACCATTTTTAATGGGAAAACTCACTATAAATGGCCATTTTCAATAGCTATGTTAGTCATTACCAGAGGGTAAACCCATGGAAATCAGCAAATTCTCCTTGATTCTCGCTCAAATCTCATGGACAGCTGCCCCGGACCCCCCGATGGCCTTCACCAGTGCCAGCATCACGGGGATCTCCAGCAGCGGGCCCAGCAGGGTGGCCACCGCCTGGTTGGAGCTGGTGCCAAAGATGGCTGTACCTCGGTCATTTCGGAAACAAATGGTGGATGTTTCAGGGTGATCTCCGAGAAATTTTGGGAAAAATGGTGACTTTTGTGACCGGATTTCTGAAGTTGATAGGTTTATGCTGATTTTGATGTGGTTTTTAAATGAGTTCGATGGTGAGTTTTTTCATGGTGAGTTCGGCAACACACAAAATGATGGGGCTAAATGATAAAATTGAGGGGAATGATTCGGAATGATGGTTTTATATGTTTTATCAGTTTAGTTCACGATGATGATTTTCGTGATATTTTAATGTTTTGGTGATATGTTGGTGAGTTCGTGGGATTCAACCCAACAAAAAAATGGTGATACCTGGTGATTTTTAGGAAATGAGAGGTTGAATTGTGCGAACCAGGTTTTTGATACCTGGCTTTTATCATTGCTTAGTGTTCTTACTTGGCTTTTCATGAGCTAAGTTACTAGAATGCTTGATCTATGAGAATAAATTGGTCACAACTAGTTAATTCTTGCGAACCAACTATAGTTCAAGGGGCTATGATCGGGGTCCCTTTTCTCAGTGGCTCCGACCAACCTGGATTGTTTGTACCCGTGGCTATTCATTGGGCTGAATTCATTGGGCCCTTGTTTGCATGAATTGGGATTGCATTTTTGGGCCATCGATTGGGTGAACAAACCCATGAGTTTCCAATTTCCGTTCTTTAAATCCCAATTATAGTCAATAAATCAATTGATATCCCCAATATCATTTATACACATTCATTAAATCACAATTCTCCACGAAAAAAATCACGGAAAATTCATCAAGAGTCATCCCCGTCAAAATCCATAAAAATCCCCAAAAACCATGGCAATATGGTGATTTATCAATTTATCCATCTCATTAAACACCATGTTCATGGTTTTACATCATGAAATCTCACCATGAAATCCTTCGCTTCGGCCTCCGGCGACCAAGGCACAGGCCGCCAGCGCCAGCTCAAAGTTGTTGCTGGCCGCGGTAAAGGCGAAGGTGATACTCTCAGGCAGAGAGCCATCTGAGCGAAGTGGTTGAACTGGTCAGGTAGTGAGGCTAGTGAGTTAGTGAGTTTAATACATCCCCAATAGCTACAGTGAAATACCTATGGTGTATTTGTTGTTTTTTTTTAATGGTAAGTATACTAATAGTTACTATACCCCCGGGAAAACCAACAGTTTGCGACATAGAAAATGGCCCATTTAGTTCGTTGATTTACCTATGAATAGCATGGTGGTTTTCCATGGTGAACTGCGATGATCCACGGTGACCGGCCGGGAAAACCGTTCCGCCACCCGGTCTCCATTCGTTCGGAGTCGTCAGGGAGGAACGTTATAGAACTCGAAGCATTCCAAGAATGTGGTCACCCACATTTTATGATGTTTGTAAGTTTAGAAATCCCTTTTAATCATAGATATATCATGATATATCAATAATGAACCCAGCAGTGGTTTTAAAGCTTGGGAAAACAAAACCTGTGGGCACCACGGCACCAGCTCCTGTGCAATGCTGAAAGGCAGGGAGAGAGAGAGATTTACATAGGTGTCTTTTTACGATGGCTAAATGATGGTTACAAGTTACATGCTGGTTAGACAATGGTCAAATAATGGTTGGATGCTCAATAGATATGTTTTAACTATGCTTAAGTACTGATGATTAAGTAGTTGCTAAACACTTGTTCATTGGCCAGGTAATGGTTCGAACACTGGTGCGATAGAATGGTTCAATCATGATCGAATGATGGTCGAAAGGATATCATGATATATCATGATTAATTCATGTGTGTGTGTTTACGTATTGTTAATACAGGGATACTAAAATTCCTTTACCGGTTGGGGGAGCTTCCATATCGTATCCATGAAAATCATCCCCATTACACCGGTATGTAGACCCATTGCCCCACAGATACTACCAATCAATGAGTTTCAAGGAAGAATCTACCCTCTGGTAAACGTTTACATAGCTATTGAAAATCACCATTTTGAAGTTCGGTAAATCCACTATTTTGATGTGGTATTTTCAATAGCTATTTTGACATAACCAGAGGGGCCCCTGGAACCCCCGAAACCCACGATTTTGATGTGAATAGAATAATGCTCCCATGAACCAACAGTGGGGCCCCTTGGCTGAACCAGCACCATTGTTAGGTTCGAAACCTGGAAAAAAATATGTATATCTACCCCAGGGTAGACTAACGTAGACGCGGAAAACCCCTATGGTTTTCCGTTCGGAAAATCATCTGCAAATGCTTAATTTTCTACATAGATGATCATATATGTCCTTTTGGGATCTTTTGGGCACCTCTGAAAACACGGATCGTAACTGGCACCTACGAGCCGCGAAGTTTTTCGCTTCTGGCGAGTCATGGTTTCTTTGTATCGACCATGCTGTAATTGTTTGATGATGAATGGATTGGTTGAAGGGAAAACCCATATTTCACAGGGAAGAGCATGGTTTCCTGCATTTTTTTCTTAAACCAATCCATCGAATTTCTTACCTCCAAGGATATCCCCTGATATCCCCATTTTTGATTGGTGAAATCCTCATTTTTCCATGGTAAAATTTCGATGCTAATTGAGCCCGCTCCTGCAGAACTATGCGTCCAAACTCATCATTCTAACTAAGGATGGAAAAAAATGTAATTTACAGTGTTAAACTTTCAAACCACCAGTTGTTTCGTCACGGAATTCCGATACGAAGTTGTTGAAACACACCACCAGTTTTCATAATTGTCATAATTCATCATCCCCAAGTGTTTATCTTCCAAACTTCAATTTCATTTACCCGAAAAAGTTGGCTCACCAAGTCGACTTCCTCCTGCTTTGGGTTCATCATGTGCAAAAGTATTCTAAAAAACCTCCAGTTTCTTGATACAAATTGTGGTAGATTGTTGTTACATATATAACACTGGATACCACTTTGGTTTCTTATACCATCCATACCACATGTGATTTTTCACCAGTTCTATCCCCCAGAAAAAACCTCCGCCCAACAATCCCCTCAGCAGCTCCGTCACTCAAGATGTAGCGCGAGATCGCCCAGGAGACAAAGAACATCAGCAGAAAGTAGCTGAGCAAAGGCACGCAGACCCAGAAGATGCTGATAATGCCCACCTGACGAAGGCGTACAGCTGGAGCTACGGTTTTTGTTTCTGTCGATAGGTTGGGTAGCTATATATACATATATATACATATATATCATATATATCATATATATCATATATATCATATATATATATCATATATATCATATATATCATATATATATATCATATAGATATATATATGATATATATGATATATATGATATATATGATATATATGATATATATGATATATGTATATATATATCATATATATCATATATATCATATATATATATGATATATATATATCATATATATCATATATATGATATATATGATATATATGATATATATGATATATATCATATATATCATATATATCATATATATGATATATATGATTATATATGATATATATGATAATATATGAATATATATGAATATATGTATATATGATATATATGATATATATGCTAGATATGCTCTATATGATATATATGATATATTGATATTATGATATATATGATTATATATGCAATATACTCTGCTATATATCATCTATCTATCTCATCTATCATATATTTTCATATCTTATATAATCCTCTCATCTATCATATATCTCATATTTATCATATATAGATATATATATCATAATATCTATATATATCATAATCCTATCATATATATTATCATATATATCAGATATACGATATATCATAATATCTCTATATAATCATATATATCATATATATATCATATATATTATATCAATTATATCATATATATATATCATATAATATCATATATATCATATATATCATATATATCATATATATCATATATATCATATATATCATATATATCATATATATCATATATATCATATATATCATATATATCATATATATCATAAATATCATATATATATCATATATATCATATATATTATATATATATATATCATATATATCATATATATATATATATCATATATATCATATATATCATATAATCATATATATATATCATATATATCGTATATATCATATATATCATATATATCATATATATCATATATATCATATATATATCATATATATCATATATATACATATATGATATATCATATATATAGATATATATATATATGTATATTTACATCTATATATATATATGTATATCGTATATATATATATAGTATATATATATATCGTATACATATATATATATATGTGTATGTGGTTTGAAAATCAATGATATAAGAATATGTGTATTGTTGGATCAACCACTTATCTTTGGGAGATGGATGATTTTAAGTCACGCTTATGTCACTGGTCATGGGATATGCGAGTGCCATCCTGGATGAGGGCGGAGCAGCACCCAGCAAGTGATGTTCATCCATCATTTGCTGGTTGAATCTACTTAGATGGGCCATGGACTTAGGGAAAACTAGTTAGTAGCCATGGATTTTTTCATTGGGATATAGGGGGTTATATCCCCAGTTACTAACCATTTAGCTAATCCCATGGCCCATCTAAGTCATTTTTGACTCATTTGCTGGAGAATTATCTCCATTTTGGCTGGTTGATCCCCATCGAATGTGTGGCCGGAAATTCATCTCCCCACGTCTGTTTGGCCGGAAAAAAGAAACAACAAAAACACGTCGAGAGATGCTAAAACCCCACCTGGTTTAGTTGTTCAAAATCCCTCTGTCATGAAAACTATTGAATCCTGGTCTGTCAAGAACGGGATTCCCCGTTCTATTCGATTCGAATCCCCAAGATATATATATTTGGTCCAATAAATCCCCAATCATCAACCATCATTCATCATCTCCGACTATATATGATGATTAAATCATCAACTAGATCATTCATCCATCAACTACAGATCCATATTTTGCCGGTGTTTTAACCCCATCATGATGGTGAAAACTCATCACCTTATTTTTTGGGGCTCCGTTGAGAAGCTCTCACCTGTCCCGACAGCAATGGTTTGCCCATCTCTGCAAACATCATCACCACCGTCCACAGCAGCGCCAGCAGCCCACAGGGTGCGAAGCGTGGCAGGAACCAGCTGCGATAGCAGGGCCGGGATCGACCCACTGACCACATCCTCGGAGGTTTTTTTGAGAATTTGAGGCCAAAACTTCATAAAACTCATCTTAGAAATGAATGATCATGTGATTGTATGTCTGTGAATATATATATATATATTATATATATATATACATTTGATTATGATTATGATATGTCTTTAAACATGAACTTAAGACTAAGATGGAAAAATGCGACCTGATTAGCTTGCGGGGCTTCAATCTTTAATCTTCCCAAAGGTTTTACACCAGGCATCAGGATGCCCAAGAGCAAGGGAATGCCCAGGTAGATCAACACACTTTGCCTCGTTCAGCGTTCAGCGGCACGCTTTTAAGGGACCCCAATGGCTTGCCATGGTGCCACTGTTTGGAGCAATGGAAGGTCAGTGTGACAGGTCCTTTTTCGAACAAAAATGGAAAATTTCAAGAAATTCCCATGAAATTCCCTTTGAATACCATTAAACCAGCATGTGTGCTAGTTCATTCCCATCAAAAACCATTAAATCACTTTTCTCACGGTTAAATCATCATTTTTCATTCTTAAATCGCCATTAAATCACCAATTTTTTCCCATCAAAAAGAACCCTGAAATCCCCACGTCCAAGTCGCAGCACCGTGAAGAAGCCCACGTCACCCCGCATCTCCACCTCCAGCGCGGAGGCGACGAGGCCCAGTAGGGTCACCATGGGGGCGTAGGTCACCACGGTGATCACAGAGTTCAGCCTGGGGAAAGCGAAAAACGAAGGTGATTTAGGGGGATATGATGGTGATTTGTTGGGATTTAATGATGATTTAGTGAATTTCATGGAATTTCATGGGATTTGAATGGTGATTGAATGGGAATTTCATGGAATTTCATGGGATTCAATTTAGTCAACAAATGTGCTGAATTTAATGGGATTTGAATGGGAATTAATGGTGATTACATGGTGATTTGAATGGGAATTCACCAGCAAAATATGGTGATCTCATGGAGAAGAATGATGATTTAAGGGCATTTATGATGAGTTTATGGTGATTGCACCGTGAATTTCATGGTGATTTCATGGGGCTTCATAGGGACCGGACATCTAACCTGCGACATCAAACGTGGCAAAATTTCGAGCTCGGAAATCCCGAGCTGGGTAAAGCAGCAGCACAACGGTCCAACGGCTTGTGGATCCTGCAGCAACCCTTTATATATTGGGGAAGATTTATTCAATGTGGGGCCCCCGGTCGATAGCTAATTTGGTGAACATAACTCCAATAACTATGGTTTATGGTACGCAAATAACTATAGTATTCATGGGGTTTATAAACCAACTTATAACTGTGGGGCACCACCTTGTTGGGTTTACCACATCAAAAACCCCAAAAATCATGGCACTTTCATCCGCCACCGACAAACATGTTCGGTTCCTCGACAGCAACGGTCACCACGAAACAGATCCAACAGTCTGGTAGATTCATAAACCCCTGTCAGCCCCAAACAGCTGTTTAATTGGAGGCACCACTTCAGTATGATACCATAAAAAACCATCATTAACCATCATTAGCCCATCATTACCCCATACCAAACCAATGCTTGAAACCACCAACCAGATAAAATCATGGTTTACTTTTCTACGTGGACATTGGATCGGACAAAAAAACCTTTCCCATCCCCAGGCCACCATTTCAAGGGACGACCTGTGAGAATCATGCCATGGAAGCCACTGGCGTTGTTTTTTAACGTTTGTAACGAACGAACCAGGCGTTCATCCAACTAACATCAAGGTCTCTCCATGTCCTCATTCTTTGAATCATCTCATCCAAATCGTAAATGCTTCGGTTCATATAACCCTGGGTTCTACCTGGTTGATGGTATACCTACCCTTCTGGAAAATATTAGAGTGAAAGTCAGGATGATGACATTCCATTCCCAACTGAATGGAAAGTCACAATCCATTCATGTTCCAAAGCACCAATCAGCCATTACTAACCATAATTAACCTTTAGTAACCATCATTAACCTATGGTTTTCCTATGGATCATCACCCTTGTTACTAACCAGTTTGAGACCCTGGGATGATCCTTAAAATGGACCCAACTCCTTGCGTCCAGGCGACAGGACCAGGGAGACACACAGGAACTGATCTCCACCCGCGATGGCGGTCCAGACCAGGACCATGGCGATACATCGGGCGGCGCCGATGTAGATCACACCTACCAACCGAGTCGCACGGACACGTTGTGAGAAAATGCTGATGTCAAGTGATGAAATTGATAAAAATGGCTAATGTTACTATTTTTTATGGTTGATTATGGTTGATTATGGTTGATTATGGTTGATTATGGTTGATTATGGTTGATTATGGTTGATTAAAGTTTAATGTCTGAAGAATCTCAGGTGAGTTATGTGACTTATGTTATTTGCGTAAAATCAAAAATGGTCAGAAAGTGGTAAGGAAATTGGGTGCGGCTCCCACTGACCAATGGTCAAAAAAATCACCACTCCACTGACCAATGGTCATCCTGCCGATCGCACCGGAAAGAATCACAATGGCACAGCAGACCCTCCCAAAAACGTTCGCCCAGAAAACTAACTTCCGTTGCTCTTTCATCCCGAAAATATCGCCAGTTTTTGATGATTTACCATGATTTAGCTATTGCCCTCCTGTGAACTAACATAGATGTGGGAAATCCACCGTTTGTAAAGCATGTTCAGGCATGTTCCTACAAAAACCCAGGGTTCTCTACATCTTTTTGTAGGTTTACCCTAGGGTTTATTCTGATGGCTATCCTGATCTGTTGAGCCATTGTTGGTTACAGATCCTTACTACTTAGGATGTGGATCCCAGCTATCGTAGGCCAGCAACAAAGATAAGAACTGCTGGCTGGTTGAGTCACTAATTTCCGGTCAAAATTGCAACAAAAAATAATATTATATGATATTATATGATATTATATGATATTATATGATATTATATGATATTATATGATATTATATGACACTATATGATATTATATGATATTATATGATATTATATGATACTATATGATATTATACGTATGTATATGATAGTATATGATATTATATGACACTATATGATATTATATGATATTATATGATATTATATGACACTATATGATATTATATGATATTATATGATATTATATGATACTATATGATATTATATGTATGTATATGATAGTATATGATATTATATGACACTATATGATATTATATGATATTATATATTATATGATACTATATGATATTATATGATACTATATGATATTATACGTATGTATATGATAGTATATGATAGTATATGATATTATATGATATTATATGATACTATATGATATTATATGTATGTATATGATAGTATATGATATTATATGTATGTATATGATAGTATATGATATATTATACACATATACATTACACGTTACTACCCTTCACTAGTCGGTAAATCCCCACATTTTCATGGTGAAATCTCCATGTTTCGGGCCTTGCAGCAGGTCTGGGTGCTGGTTCAGCGTGGCAAGGCCTATGAAGAGCATCAGGAAGGGACCAATCCTGGGACAGGTGAGGCCCCGGGCCCTGGCCTGACGAAACCATAGGAAAATGATAGTTGAACCAAGAAAAATTGTGATTTCGTGGGATATATATATATATATGATGTGTGTAAATATATATATATATGTATGTATGTATATGTATATGTATATGTATATATATATATATATCATGATAGCTAAGTTGACGCACGTAACTTGGTGAACGTTTGGACCTTGTACCATGTGGAGATGCTACATACCGCCTATTTCTGGTAAGTCATTGGAGATGGCTTATGAAATCTCACATATGAGTCTGATTTTGTTGCTTTGAACGTCATCAAAATCATCCAATGAATTTCATTGGTCTTCACAATCTTCGCTGGTTAAACAGCAAGTGCCGTTTGATAAATACCTGGTACCTGGCAGCGTCTGTTGATTTCAGGAATACCTGACTGGCAACTTGTCATCCCCATGTTCCATCAACAAAACCCGAATGCTTCTTTGCAACATCTGTTGCTTATAATGGAGGAAATGGGAAAGGGGTGTTAATGCTCAACTATCTTTTGCCGCGAGAAACCGTCGCCATTTTGGGGATGATTCTCCCAACATCAACACCATTACCCTCCGGTGGAATCTAAAAACATGGCTTGGCAGAAACATCCAATGAACCCAAGGGTGGTTAAAACACCATATAATCCATTGAATTCCACTATGAAACCCTATGAAACCCTATGAAACCCTATGAAACTTATGAAATCCTATGAAATCATATGAAATTCTATGAAACCACCATTTGTTGATGCTTCAAACGCCAGCTCTGCTTCAACATCTTCCAGATCTTCGGGCTAACACCGCCAGGCATCGCCCAGTTCACCACCACGCTGCCCACGGCGATGCGTTTCGGAATGCGCCGCAGCGCGGCAAAGAACTCGTCGTACTTCACGGCCGCGAAGGGCGGCAGCAGCATGACGATCATCCCACAGGCGGTCAGCAGATTGGTGTTGCCCAGCTTCAGGGCGTGCAAAGCACGGCGGACCTGTTGGGAGCTGTGAACTCGGAACTTGCTGTTGGTGAAGGAGCTGTTGGGTGATTTTTGATGGGATCTCGAGATAACCATAAAAAAGAATCTGAGGGGAATTTCATAGATGATTTTCCAAGAGAAACGGTGATTTTTCATAGGATTTAATGGGATATAAATGGGGGAATTGGGATGTGGGGGTGGAATGGTGAATTTGAAGCATCCCTAAAACTTGGAATATAGTACACCCCAACAAAAAAACACTGTTCTATCTTTTGGGGGTTACTACAAGTAGACATTTAAATAGATAGGATAGGATAGGATAAGATAAGATAAGATTAGATAGATAGATAGATAGATAGGTAGATAGATCCCGCTTGCACTTTCTGACTCTCGAGACCCTGCCTGGTCCTCTTTTGCATATCTGGGCAAGGTTCAACCAAAAATTCTAGACATGAACTCTAAATAAGCCATAAGAAACCACCATACCAAAGGGTAATGTCCCCCTACTCAACATATCTAAGCATCAATTAATTTCTGTCGCGATGTCGCAACAAGAGGCCAGCTCAGATACCGGGCAATCGCAGGGATTGCAAAATTCGCTGAGCCACTGATGATTCCTGTGTCCATGGAATAGGTAATTATTAAACATCCATGGAAAATAGTTATAATTCACCTTTTAATGGTAAACATCTCACCTGGTAATACTAAATAATAGTAAACATTTCATGATTCACCTGGCAAGAGTAATACCTAGGACCTAGGAAACATGATAAATATTGAAAAATGTGCGGATGAAACTGGGACATGTAATCTGTGAGTTTCTACATGTTCATGCGATCTTCGAATGTCTCAGCATAGCCACGAACGCTCCAAGGCACCCCTTCAAACTGACCCACTGCAATGCCGAGGGCCACTGCCAGCAAGATCCATAGTGTCAGATACTTCTCGAGCCCCAACCTTGGGCAAACCCGTCAGCTCCGGTCAAACAGTGGAGGGGTTCGGAAGTTTTTTCAAAATGCCAAAAAGAATCAGTTTCAGAGGGGGAGTGATAAACTAAAATTCCGGATGTGAGCCCGGAATTTTAAGCCATGGTTTTTCATGTCTTGCAAACCTATTTTTCCCCAAAAAGAAGTTCAGATAAGATCACCTGGTTTCACAGTGAAGGCCTCAGGCCTCAGATTTCACCGGTTCATCAGGTAGTGAAAAATCCTCTTTTTTCCTTCTTCGTCGAGTCTTGCTGATTACCATGTCTTGGTCAACCCAAACCTACACATTATATAATATATATATATGTGTGTGTTTATAGCCTTCGTGTCTCTTCATTTATGGTATGCATCTGTATTCACCAAGATTTAAGATTTTACCAAACATGTATCCCGATGTGTTTCTCCCCAAACTATTTAAGCAGTGCTCCAGATCCGGGAAAAAGATCCAACTTTGCTCTAGCAAAGCCGTCCTGGGATTAGGAACCGAGATCTTTCTCAGTGGTTGTTTCGCCTACTTCGATGGGCCATAGGATTAGCGATTCCTGGTTAGTAACTGGGGTTATAACCCCCAAACAATCCCAATGAAAAAATCAAATTTCTAACTAGTTAACTAACTCGATGGCCCATCTAAGTATCTTTCCCTCTATCTTGTCTCAAACTTGACGGGCGAACGGTCAAGTTATGGTCTAAAACTAAGACCTCAGTTGACTCAGGCGATATATCTTCTGTTGGCTACAGCAAATCCACAAGACTTCATCAGCAAAATTATAGGATTCAAGCCGGGGTGTTTTCACAAACAAACCCACTGCCTTTGTCAAAACTCCGTCAACTGCTGGTTGGTGGTATACCGGTATACCTACCCCTCTGAAAAATATGGAAGTCAGTTGGGATGATGACATTCCCAATATGATGGGAAATTCATAAAAGTCATGTTCCAAACCACCAACCAGTATAGCATTCATGGGCGAATCTAAACCTTGTGAACCCGTCACACGTTTTGTCCCGCCTCACCTTGCGAACCAACTCTTTGTCTCGCCGGGAGGGGATTGCAGTCACCGTTTTTTATGCCAAGACCATATGTTTCATCTATGCTGGTTTCAATGGTCATTTCAGGAACCTATGTAAGGGGATATCCCCACAAAATATGGCCTTATATGGTACAGTACCTCCATTTTAGGGTCCTGAAATTCCCATTGAAATGGGAAGTCTGGAAATCATGAGGCTAGCTACAAGGTGAGGCCCCCAGTTATATGTTCGTTTGTAAACCCAGCAACTAGAGTTGATGAGATATACCCAATAAACCCTCACCTTGATCAAATTTCCATTGAATCCCTCTAAAATCCATGAAATCGACGTTTTTGTTGCTTAAATCCCATTAAAATCACCATGTTCATCGCTTCAAATCCCATTAAATCACCATTTGGGGGTTCCACTTTTCCACCTTTTAAGGGCACCCCCCCAGCCCGATCCCAGCCCTGCCGGTCGTGGCAGCTGTGGGGGTGGCTTTCGCTTGAGCTCGGCTTCCGTGGAACACGCTAGGTACTCCTGGCCGAGACGGGGTGCACTTGATTGGGCGTGCATCCCACTTAGTAAATGGTTTATAATCCCAGTTTATAAATATGTATAAGTGGGTGTATTCCATATAGAACTGGAGATTTTTCATCCACTTAGTATGTTGTTTATAATCCCAGATGGGGGTTTCCATAGGGGCCATAGGGGTACCCCTAGTCACCATGCGTTTCAATACTATTGCGCACGGTCTCAAAGCACCGGGCTGGCTGCAGCACAGGCCCGGGTGTCCAACAGGTCACACCTACCTAACACCCGATCTTGTCATCAGGGTTCCACACAGTAAAATGCAAATCAGAGAGGGCAGCCGGAGTTCGCCTTCTGCCGACTTCCTTACATCTACTGGATAACATTAACAACCGGCAAGGCCACACTGCGGGCCATGAGAAACCAAGGACATGGACGGTTTTGCCCACTGACTACCCAAAAAGTATGGGATAGGTAGATTCATGACACAAGGTTAACACTGTGGCGGAGAGTTCCTCAAGATTTGGGGTTGCAGTCTGGGTGATGTTTGAGGTGCCCGTTCTTGCTACAGCTACCCAACTGTGTTTGTTGTTTTGAAAGCTCAGAATTTGTTGATCAATTGGCCCATTCTTGCCACTTCAATTCCCTTAAACACTCCAGAAAGACCAAAAAAAATCCTGCTAGGTTAGCCAATTCTTTTTCAGGTTCTTCAACTTTAGCCATGTTGGTCCAAACAAACCCTGAAAAAAACACCCAGGAGCGTTAAACAAACCAACAGCCCCCAGCGCACAGCCCCCAGCAGGGCTCCTCTGGGCAGCAGTACATGGCTGGGGCCTTCAGATCGATGTCCAGATCCGACAATCGAATGGAACCGTCCTGGGACCGTCGACCGTCACCGACGTCACCAAAATTTTCAGAGGCCAATTTGTGCTATGGGCTATGTAAGGGAATCTTACCACTGAAATTTCTGACATTGAAGTCAACGTTTCATAAATGGATAGATCAATATATATATATATAGTTCAGGACATTCACTCAGAACATGTTGTTATCCAAATTGCTTCAAACATTCTCTTCAATCATTCACCAATAGAGTAAATTCATGGTAAATTCCATGTGACGCTGCTTGGTACCAAAAAAATACCCAAGTCGTCACATTGGCTTCATGGCTTCACCATCTCAACGGCTTCCATCAATCCAAAAATCCCATCAAGTCACCAAAAAAAACCATCGAAATGGGTATGGGTCAATACCTATTAATACCATCTTTAGTGGGATGAACATCCATTTACCAGCTATTTTGATGTTCACCAGGGGTACAAGGTTTTGACCCATCCCCCTCTCATCAAACGTTCCCTTGGCTCCTGTGGCAGGCGCTTGCCACCCACACACACTGCAGGAGATGCCTCGCCCTCGACCCTTTCCTCTGCCGCCTGCTGCGCCCGAAACTGTGCCCGGTAGTCCGCCACTGTAACCGGTTGCGGCGCCATGGTTTCAGAGGAGTGCGTTGAGGGCGAGGTGGTCCGGGTCTCAGCCGAAACAAAATCAGCGGTCAATGAGAGGTTTGGAAGAACACCGCAGTCATGGTCCAGTTTTAAAAAAAACGTGGCTTTGTAGAAGCGTCAAGTTTGGGGAGAAAAATCAACATTCGGAATCGGCCAGGGCAGGATTCCAACTCCAGCAAAGGAACGCCAGAACTACTGCCCAAAGTCAGGTTACCTAGGTCCCAGTGTGAAAATGGTGACTTGAACTCCCTTGTTATTGGCATTCTGAACAGGAAATTCATGGTGATGACCCAGTGGATTCATTGCTACCCTGTTCACGGGGAGGCCAGTAGACTCAGTAGACCATTGAAATCATAAGGTCTTTCTGAATTTCATCAGAATTCGCTGACTTGAAAATGATTGTCCTTACTTGGAAACAAAGAAATTTGACGATGCTTCCCCTTGCATTCACCACATCAGCACACTTAAAGGGGCGTCGAGACAGAAGACGACTTGACATCTTTCGGAATGCCTACGGTCTGACCCAAACCTTTCGCCTTCATCTTTTGAAGAAATGTCAAAACACCATTTGTTGTTTGGTCACCAGGCAGCTAGTGACAGATCTCCCACTTTCAGGTTTCTGGTTTCAATCCGTGAAGAAACCAGAAAGTCACTGAGGAGGGTCATCCCGCAAAATGATCAATGGCTAGCCATATACTCTACGGTGTCATCAAACATGGCTAGCTGGGAAATCGCCAGCTCAGGAAGTGAAATGAGAAAAACATCAAACTTTAAATGGTGCAAGGTGGTGCCCCCAAGATAGCTAAGTTGGTTTATAACTCTAATAACTAGGACTTATGGTAGATATATCGAACTAGTTAATGGGATTATAAACCAAGTTATAACTGGGGGGGCACCACCTTGTGGATTTTCCAGCAAGCCATGGTTGAGGGTAAAAAAGCACCAGCTACAAAGCAATCGGGTGATGTCAGCCCTTCCCTTCAAATCTGCGGATTCCAATCACGAAAATCTGGGGATTTGTTGTGGTACTGAGCCCATCAGTCATAAAAATCCTCGTGTGAGTGACATATCCCGTTTGAATTTCCCATAGAATATTCGCATAAAATGCTGATCAAAAATTGTCCCAATATTTTACCCTTTGGTAAACAAACATAGCTATTGAAAATGGTGATAGAAATAGTTGATTTACCTATTAAAAATGCTGATGTTCCATAGTTATGTAAAGGTTTACCAGAGGGTATCCCATCACATCTTCCATGAAATCCCATCATGAACTTCCACAACACGGCGACGTCACACCTTGAAGCTGTCCGGGAACCCCATCTCCAGGTCCTCCGAAGGTGTCCACTCCCAGCTGGACCAGCCCTGCGCGTTTTTCCGATGGCGACGATGGAGGGATGAAACTCATGGGATTTCATGCTGATATCCATGGGGAAAGAGTAGGGATAGAGAAATTTGAGCCAAGAAATATATTATTATTATTACTATTATTAATATTATTATTATTGTCATTATTATGATTGTTATTATTATTATCATTATATATACGTGTGTGTATGTATGCATGTTGGTTTATCTTATGAGATAAAAACTTAGCATAACCCTTGTTCTCTCCAAAGGGTTGCTTTTAGCGTAACTCTCCCACCGCACCTTGACGTGAATAAGGTCGATACGACAAGACCGATGATGAGAGAAAATGACTTCTAAAAAAACCGATAGGATGTCTGCAAAGGGGTAGCTGATTTGAAGTGAGACTTCACAGAGATCACCATAGATCATCCAGAATCCAAGATGATTTTTGATGATTGAACTCTTAATGAAAGATTACATAGGATAATCCATTATCATTATCATCCCATAATCCACCATAGATCATCCAAGAATGTTCATGATCATCCCACGGTCCTGGTCATTGGTGAATCACCATAGTTAGTTCACCCAGTATGTATATATATATGTGATTATACATGAATATTTATATGACATAATAAAACATAATATAATCTAATATTTCTATATGGTTACATATATATATATTATGGTTTATATATGGCTATTAGCCACTTATGATTCGTGGGACCTACTAACTAGGGCTATTAACCACCAGGATCCTCCAAATAGTTGCTAGTGGATGGTAACAACAAACATAACCACTATCATCAATACCCATGATTAGCCACTTGCTGCATATTATATGGTTATTATATGGTTATTATATGGTTGTTACATGGTTATTATATGGTTATTATATGGTTATTATATGGTTATTATATGGTTATTAGCCACTAACTAGGCTTATCATGGCATTAGAATCCTCTGGTGATTGATACCCAACCCGCAACGGTCACCGCAACGGTCGTCGCCTCGGGGTTGTACTGCAAGCGGCGTCGCCCCGCATCGTCGCTCTCGAAGGTCAAGTCGCTGACCTGCGGCGGGTTTTTTACCGAGCACAACAATGGATAATGGTGGTGCTTGACCAAGTCATAAGTCGTGTGGTTATTGACTAACAATGGTTATTGGTTAATTAAAATTATAACCATTGAGCATAAAGTAATCATAAGTCAAATGGTTATTGACCAACAATGATTGTTATCATCAATATGGTAGTTGTTAGTAATAACCATTTGACTTATGATTGTTACAATAGTTGTTATTCATCAATGTTACAATAATTACTAACAATGGTTGCTAACAACAGTTGTAATATGGTCCATCTGGTTGTTTTGAATTGATCAGTTATCGCCAGTGCAGGACGGGTCCGAATTTGGCCCAGATTTTTTTTCCGAGCACTGAGAGGTTGGCGAAGCGCGAAGCCAACCTGTTCGCTCCACTTCATTAAGTATCTGGTTGGTCAATGGATTGGTTTAAGGGAAAATCTACAGGAAACCATGGTTTTTACCATCAAATATAGGGGTTTCCTGTAAATTTTCCCATCATCTAATTCTATGAGTTGGTGGTTGAGCCCTACCCCTCTGAAAAATGATGGAGTTCGTCAGTTGGGATGATGACATTCCCAACTGAATGGAAAAATAATCCAAATGTTCCAAACCACCAATCAGATATAGATTTAAGACTAGAACCAGAGATATAACTGATATAACTAACCTACTTAGGATTCTTGTTCCAAACCTGTTCCCTGTTCTACTTTGAAACGTGAAAATCTAGGGATTCTGGAAGATGTTTAAAGTTTAAACCCCAACTTTGGGATACTTCTGACTTGGAATGAACGAAATTATGGCTTTCCCACACAACACGGATCCACCCAAGCCCATTTACGCCAAAAATACCGTGTGGGTGCTATTTTTTTCAACCTCCATGGAATTGGACGAAAAAAAAACACCCAAAAAATTGTCAATCTCTGCAGCTTAAGGTCCAAAGGTCGCCTTGCTGAAGCATGGACTCCGGCGGTAGCGTGATGCACGCGAGCCGCGCGACGCGGCAATGCCTGACAAGAGAAACGGGTGGCCGGTGGTTTCCCAACACCCACGATTAAAGGCTGGAAAATGCCCTAAAATGACCTAAAAATAGAGGCAAACTACCAATTTGACCCCCTTGTGGCAATAATTTACCTATAAGAGGTTGGAACTATGTTGATGTTCAACTTATAAATCAGTTTATAGTATATTTGGACCGGAGTTATATAAACTTGGCCGGATCAAAATCCCATATTTCGGCTTCAAAAACATCGTTGAAACCACCACTAATTGCGACTATTAATCGGTTGAAAAAGAAGCAGAGGGCTATCCTCGCTCCCAGGAATCCCAGGTATGAGGTGCAAAGCACACCGTTTGATTGGCAGGTGGGGCCCCAGCCACTCTAATCCTATTCATATGACTTCATATGCTTCTTGTTCATCATCTGCTTATTATTTTTGCAGTTTCGCATCCAATATAAGTATATATAATTTATATGCATAAGATGAAGCAGAGTCCATCAGACGACGAGGAGTTCGGACACCTGTGCCTGCCAAACTCGGCCGGTTTCGGACTTTTCATTTCCGCAAAGTTCATGGCATTGCTCACGCAGGGTGTCGAAAACATTCTGTTACACCGCCTTCAGAAAGATTGGTCAATTGGCTGCGGGACAAAACCCTGGTACCAGGGCTTTTTTTGTCCACAATAGCTGGCATTTATGGATGAGAACATTGCTCCCAAATAATGGTACTACATCAAGTTGTTGACCTATCATCATATTGGTCAATTGGGGATCATCGTTCCGAATCAGAAGTATGGGATTTTGCAGCCTGGTTGATTCACGCCTTCAACTTCCTTCAGTGAATTCAGGATCATCATCGGAAGGTTTCAGTGCCACGATGGGATCTACAACCCCTACAAGTACTGAAGTTGATCTTGAACTGCAGACCAATCGCCACCCTCCTCCGGATCGCCCCAAGTAACGACTGACCCATCCGCCAAGATGGCTGCAAATTCAACATGTGTAGCCGCAATATGCTGAACATCTTTAAGCCGATCTTGAACGGCAGAGCAGTCACCACCAAAGTCTGGATCACCCCAGGCAACCACCGATCCATCCGCCAAGATCGCAGCAAAGGCAAAACCTGTGGCCTGAATTTGCTGCACGTTCTTCAGCTGATCTTGAACTGCGGAGCAGTCACCGCCTGCCGCTCGATGGCCCCAGGCAACCGCTGATCCGTCTGCCAAGATCGCGACAAACGCACTGCGAGTGGACTGAATTTGCCAGACATTCTTGAGCTGGTCTTGAACCGCGGAGCAGTCACCACCACAGTCTGCTTGACCCCAAGCAACCACTGATCCATCGGCCAAAGTCGCTGCAAAAGCGCCACCTGTGGCCCCAATTCGCTGAACATCTTTGAGCCGATCTTGAACTGCAGAGCAATCACCACCACGGTCTGGACGGCCCCAGGCGACCGCTGATCCATCGGCCAAGATGGCAGCAAATGAATTACGTGTGGCGTAAATTTGCTGCACATTCCTGAGCTGGTCTTGAACTATGGAGCAGTCGCC